ATATCCAGACAATCTAAAAGTCCATGTATCCGTGTTAGTTGTACGAGTTCCTTGAGGACCAGTTAGCAGCCTTCGTCAGTACATCAAATAACTAGCGTCATTGCGCTCCGCATACCTTCTCACTGGAACCTTCAATTTCCATGACTCTCAATCTGGTTTGCCCAGTTCATCAAGTAATTTCACGGACGTGACCACTGATGCACACCTTGGATTTTGGAGTCACAGATGGGACGTACACTCGATGTATATGGCAGTCAGCCAAGTGAGAGGTGCTAGTTCTGTCACATCCCCGCAAACAACGCTGCTAATCGTTACTTATTCAGTAAGCTGCTCCCTTACTACTGGCGAATAACCATTAACGTGACTATTTACCTATCCGTGATTTGGAAACATATCCGGTAGAGTTCAGCTGTGCATTTCTCGGAGCAGCTGATCGATGGTGCGATCCGATGAATATTCCACGGCCGCTTGAGAAGATGTATTATTTGATTCCTCCTCGAACCACATTCGGGACGTCACAATTTGAATGACGTATTTTTCTTTCTGCGGTCCGTCAACTTTAATAATAATACTATATTATCGACCAGAAATCTTTCCCCAAGTGTCCACTGGCTGTAAATCGAATAAGAAAATCAGAAACATGATTGGGCGTCAGTGGTGGTGGTGGTCGTCGTGGTTGTGGTGAACGATGTTGGGTCTTGCAGCGAAGCTTCTGGTAGTTAGGTTCGCTGATTGAAGAATCTTTTGAACAAGTTGCAACTCCACAGCAAAACAAAACCTGTGTGCTACATTATTTTTTGTTTACTATCATTCAATCATGAGGAGTGAACTGAAATACTCGATTCCTCCCATTCCGAATTGCACTAACTACGATTGCAATTATTGACTGGGTAATCTTGTTTTGTCTACTGTTTACTAGTCGCAAGAGAGAGCATATATGTTCATTTATATTGGTCGGAAGAAATCTGATGCATAATTCTGTGTGCATCAATTATTGCTCTGTCTGGTGCAGTTTTCACTAGGTTGATGGCTAATATTTGGATTCGGTGAAGGCCAAACATGATATCTCTATATAACTGGATAGACAAGGGTAAGATACCGATCTTTGTCTGACAGCACGTATACTAACATGCCTTGAGTGAAGAGAAGCAGAGGTCCTTCAACCAAGAGCAAAATGGTAGTAGTCATAATTTAGTACACACACAGATAAAACTCAATCTCTGATCGATACTTATTGGCCACTCGATTATTTATAAGTGAACAGGAAATCAATGCGTCAGTTTTCACTATGGTTTAACTAGGAAGGTCATTTTGAAATATACAATGAGGAAAAATAAAGGTCACCACCTTTTCAAGAAGGACATTCCAGAAAACACAATCATGAACGTGACTGTTTTCGTGAATGCATCGTGTACATACATATTGTAGTGTTGCTACACAGCGAATTGTGGATTCCTTAAGTTGGAGGTGATGAAAATACTGTTTGCAGTGCACATACATCATTCACAGCCACTCAATGTCCGTTATCTGGCAAGTTAAAATGTTAGCATGTGTGCCACGTGTGCATTCTGTTGTCACATTTTTACAGGTTGATCGAAAAATAATTTTGTCTCAGTGACTGTACATCCGTTTACTCGATTTGCTTTCCTTCCCGCTCTCCAGATTTACTGGGGTCCCGACGCCACACACAGTCCACAAGAACCGGGATTTTCCGAAAAACCCACACAGTTCGTTCAAACGGTGCCTGCCGTAAGTGGTGTGATAACAAAATGACGAGATTACAGAAAAGAGGAATACCTTTTTTATAAAA